AAAAAATATAAATTAGATTTATTGAAATATATGTATATATTAGTTCAATTAAAAATTACATGAATTGACAATGAAATATAAAATTTAAAGTAAAATATATAAATAAATAAATAAATGAATAAATAATGAAAGTTTATAACAATCACTTGAATGCACTTTCTGCAATAATTTGAATAATACAAAAATATAAATTAAATGTAATGTATTATACACATATATATAATTTATTTAATATTAATTAAATTATAAAAATTACATGAATTGTGATAATGATATTATCATTTGTAATATGAACTTAAAACTAAATAAATCAATCAATAAATACAATCAAAAAAAAAAAAAAATAATGAAAGTTAAATTCAACCACTTGATTATGAACCTTTTGTAACAATTCAAAAAATAAAAATAAAATATAAATTAGATGCAATATATATATATATATATATATATATTAATTCAATTAACAATTACTTAAAGTGTCAAGAATAATATGAAATAAATAAATACAATGAAAAGATAAAATAAAAAAAGATCTATAGATCGATAGATCTCGATACCTAAAGAATTGAAAGAACGCACCTGTACTTTCAAAAGTAGTGCAACGTGACATTCCAGTTTTTCAGGAAGGACCAACTTGAAGATGATCGAATGCCGAAAGATACAAGTAACAACACACTTTAAAGTTAAGTAACCATCTACTGACTGAGTGAGATGAAATATCATCATCTATCTCTCTTTATCTCTCTCTATTTTTATCTATTCAATCTTTATCCATAAATCATTTCATTTAAATATTAGATAGACATACATACATATACATATATACATATAAATATGTATACTTAAATAAACTTAGGTAATAAAATTTTCAAAAGATGAAACTAAATTTAAAAAAAAAGAAAAAACAAAAATACCACGAAGAAATATTAAAAAACAAATTGGTTAAAATCTAAAATAAAAAAAAAAAACACATACACGCATATACATGCATATATTATAAAATCTTATAGAATAAATGTTAATAAAAGATAAAAAATAAATTACGAAATTGAGAAAGGCAAATATCATCAAAAAACATTGAAAGACTATTGGTTAAAATTTAAAATAAAAAAACACACACACACACACATATAATAAAGTCTAATATATATTTATAAATTAAATTTCAATAAATAAAAAAAAAGAAATAACACATTGAATACATTGAATAAAATCTAAAAAAAAAAACACACATACACACATATAAATATATATTATAAAATCTAATACATATTAATTTATTAAATTTCAATAAATAAAATAAAAAATTAATAACAAATTGAATAAAAATTAAAAAAAAAAAAAATATAAATACACATATACATATATATGTATACAAAGAATAAAAGAAAATAAAAATTTTACAACGAAATTGATGTCCCGTGATAGAAAAACATAGAGTGTGTGTATGCGAGAGAGAGAGAAATAGAAAGAGAAAGAAAAAGAGAGAGAGAGAGAAAGAGAAACATCCGCGAGTTAAAATACTCGCATAAATAAAAAAAAAAACAATAATATCGTTCCGTTCACGGCGCGAGTTACGAGCGCACTGACAAAATCCGGGCGTCCCGTACAAAACTGCATTCGCATGCGCGTTCTAGAATTCACATCCAACCACCACCACCACCACTATCACCAACAACCACCACCACCACCACTACCACCACATCATCTTCTCTATCTCAACCATTCTCATCCTCTTTTCTCCTCATTCACCACCACCACCACCACCACTACCACCCACCCACCTACCACTATCACGCAACTACTAAAACACTATCACTACTACTACTACTACTATTACTATTACTATTACTATTACTATTACTACTACTATCATAATCTTCTATCTTTCACTTCATATCCACCTTTTCATCCTCTCTTCCCGGTAACATCGAACAACGCACCACACACCACCCACACGTAGAAAGAGTGACACAGAACGCACGAAATACTTTCTTTCTCTTGAAAAAATAATAGAGAGAGAGAGAGGGAGAGAGAGAGAGTGAATGCACACGAGACTGCACTGCACTGCACTGTACTGTACTGTACTGCACTGCACTGCATTAAACTGCACGCGATTCTTTGACTAACCGGTTATGTGCACGATGATTTCTACCCACTCTAATTTTTTTTCTTCTTCTTATCTATCAATCTCATTCTTTTTTTTTTTTTTATCTATTTTTATATTATATATATATGTTGTTTTATATTTATACTATTACTAGGATGCTCCGACCACGAGTTGTTGTGGTTTTGTTACAAAATGTTGATTTAATTTGATTCGAAACTATTTAATAAAATTGTAACAACACACCAAAATAATAATTACAATTAGAATGAAATAAATAAAATAATAATAATAATACATGGAAAACTATGAAAAGTAAGGTTAGTTACGTCACATGTAAATCTGAATATATTCAAATAATTGAATTGTAATACAGCACCATCTATTGAGAAACTTGCAGTACCTTTTTTAATCTTTCAATAATAAATCCTTTAAATTAGCGACAAAAAAAAAGCTACAAAATAAACGGGAGAAAAACTAAGCCTATATTCTAAGTTAATAGCATACTAAATAATACAACAATTAATAATGGCATCCATAAAGTAATAATACTCGAAAAAAATAGAAAAAGATAGGTTATGTCATATGTAAATTTGAAAAAAGTATGACTTGAATATATGTAAATATTCCAATTGTAATACAGTGCCATCTATCGAATAATTGCAGTACCTAGATACTTATAATGATGATTATATTAATTTATTTTTATTATTTTATTGTTTGTGTGTGTGTGTGTGTGTGTGTGTGCGTGGGTAATACAATCTTGCAGGTTTTTTTTTATACTTCATTCATACATGGTTTCCATGTTGTACATGTACGAATTCAGTTTTCCTATTAATTAATGGTAATATGATATAACATAGTAATATGTGTACAATTATTATTATTATTATTATTATATTATTACTATTATTATTATTGTTATTATGTAAATGAGTACTAATAGAGTTACCATTCATTTATTTTTAGAAACATTTGTCAAGCATGATTTTAGGTTATTTGGAAAGTAATTAAGTTTTTTCTTGACACATTTTTAGAATTAGTTAATACAAATTGGCAAATAACAACACGTGGAATTGTTAAGAGAGTTTTAAACATTTATCAAATGAAACTATTTAAACCCACTTGAAAATCCTAAGTTTAACCTCGAAACAAAAATTGTTTTTATTTAAACAAAAATAAAACGAAAATACTTTGCGTACAACCTAATATAATGGATATTATTTGACTAGTCCAACCTAATTAATATCCTTGCAATTATTTACATATATATATATATGTATATATATTTAAAAAAGATAAAGAAAGAAAGAAAAAAAAAATATAATTACGATATTATTTAATTTTATCTTGAAATTTTTCAAAGTCCTGAAAATTATATTCAATAATGAATAAAATAAATGTCATGTGAACATATATTAATTAATATTTATATATATATGTATATATATATATATTTAACAAAGATAAAGAAAGAATAAAAAAAGTCTAGTTATGATTTTATTCAATTTTATTTGACAATCTTTGAAATCGAAATGATTCTTTTAAAATAATGAATAAAATCAAAGATATGGCGAACACACACACACACACACACACATACATTAATTAAATTAAAAGAAGCCATTTTTCAATTAATTAAATATTATTGGAAAATTATTTAAAATGTTACAGATACAATCATAAGTTAAAGAATTTTTAAACAATTCTTACTAACCAATCAATCAATCAATCAATCTGTTGAATCGGCTAAATTGTTATTGATCAATCAATTGGGTAAAGGATCTTTTTGACAAAAGATTTTTGTGAAAACATGCCAAAAGTTTAATCTTCGTAATCCGATTATTTATTAAATTTTCGGATAAATTCTTGTAAGCTGTTAACAGGACAATTATTTAAGAGGAATACTAACGTTAGATAGTAGTATCACGAGTTTGTTCGTTGTTCGTTCAAGCCTACGATACTTTAGACCAGAGTGGCTAGTATGCTAAACTAAACTTCCGCCATAACCACTACTCTATTCTGTCCTTTGATGTTCTCTCTAGTGTGGTAGGGCAAACATACTCATCATATATATATACACATATGTTACTATAAAAATGTAGAATTTCAATTATTTGTAAAATAATCAACTAATTCATGAAATACACTAATCTGCTAAAATATGAGATAAAATATAATTTTATACTTTCATTAGGTAATATTAAAATAAATAAATATATTGAATAAAAATCATTTGTTAAACAATATAATTGACATTAAATTTAATAGAACAACATTAAATTATATATATTAATAAAAGAAAGAGAGAGATATATAATATATTAATTATATTATTATTAATTTAAATTAATTACATATATATAATATATAATATATTATAATATAATAATATAATATAATAATAAATATAATAATAATATAAATAATAATAAAATATAATATAATATAATATAAAATATATATAAAAATAAAATAATATATTTATAATAAATATATTATAATAAATTATTAAATATATAATATATAATAAAAATAATAGAATAATAATATAATATTAATTATATTTATTATATATTATTTTATTATTATTACATATTTACAATATTATATATGAATTAATAAAACATAATATAAAGCAAACTATTAAACAATTTGTTTTTTTTTTTTAAGTACAAGCTTTGTTGTAAACTATTGAATAATCTAATTAAATTAATATTTTATCTAATAATTTTCTGAAAAAAAAATAAACAATAATTTTATATGACACATGTAAAATTATTGTTTATTTCATTTAAAAATGTCCAAGTTATTTCTTCTAACATTAAAAAAAGCTTTTAATATAAATTAATTAAAATATTTATACATTTTTTTAATATTATACATATGACAAGAGTGTTTTGAAAAAGTTCACATAGAAATTTATTATCAACAAATCTTTATATTATATTTTGCACCCTATATCTTTCAAAATCATTTTTGCTTTGAATCGTTTGGAAAAAAAAACACACACATACACACACACAAGCCTTGTTGCCATTCAATAGCTGTGCAAACATTTCTCCCAATCAAATGTAGATGAAAAATAAGCGAATAAAAAAGAGAAAGAAAAAAGAGAAAAATCAAATGATAGAAAGAGAAAATAAATTAGACTAATTTGAAAAGAGATCGTGGGGAAATTAGTTGATTGAATAATTTCATAGATTGAAAACCATTTCAATAGATATTTCGATATATACACTTCATAAGTCGATCTGGTGGTATACTTAGCACAGTTCGATGAGTTTCTACTTAACTTAATTGAAATTAATTGAAACTATCTCTCTCTCTCTCTCTTTCTCTCATGATCTATCTACATTACTTCATATAGATCTACACTAATATACCTAAAGAAATGATACATATATGCATATTGATTTCCAAATTGGAAGGTTCAATGTGTTCGAAATTACTTTTGCCATAATTTTCCTATCTTTCAATTGAAAATAATAAAAATTAAAAAAAATCTAATTCAAGCATTTTTCTACCATTGTCAAAGTTAATAATGAAATTTTAATAATAATATAATTAAGATTAGTTAGCTCATCGAACTAACTGAGATAATCATGACTCTTTGTTAATAAACAAATAATTGCGATTATAAATTGAGATTTAAACTATCCTATCTTTCAAGTTAGATGAAACTGCACACAATGTGGAAAATTTTTATTAAAATTGATTCAGTAGTTTAGGAGTCCATTGCGGACAAACAACGTGACACACGTAATTTATATATATTAAGATAATATAATATAATACAATAATAATATAAAAATTAGGTTGGAAACTAATTGATTACGGATTTTGTCGATAGATGGCTTTTAAAATCATCCATGACTTAGTTGCCAACCCAATAATATAATTATAAATATTGAAATATAATAGCAAAACTATTAAAACGTACAAACTCATAAGCTAAGTACAAATTTTCTTATTTTTTTTTTCGATAAACAAAAAAGAAAAAAGAAAATAAAAATAAAAACAGCAACCAATTTACCATTTTCTTAGAATTGTCAAATGAAGTGATAAAATGTTGTAATAAAAGTCAAAACACCAAGGGGAAAGTATTCAAACGAATGAACTCATGGCAATTGTAATTTTCTTATCTTTCAATAGAAAAAAAAAAAAAAAATTAAAAAAAAAAACAAAAGACAATTTAAGCATTTTCTTAGAATATTGTCAAAGTAAATGATGAAAATGTGATAATAAACGTTAAAACACATAGAAGGAAGTATTAAAACAAACCACAACTCATGGTAATAATAATTGTCTTATCATTCAATAGACAAAAAAAAAAAGAAAAAAAAACAAAAGACAATTTAAGCATCATTTTCCTAGAATTGTCAAAGTAAATGATGAACATTTTGTAATAAACGTTAAAACACATAGGAGGAAGTATTAAAACGAACAAACTCATGGGCAAGTGCTTTATAAAACGTATAAGCAA